GGGTCGATCTAGAGGTCCCACCGTAATGTCGCCCGGCATGGAGTTCCCCCGCCAGCATCAGAACGATTTTTGCGCACCCATACCCGAGCAGGTCATGTCGCCTGTCGGTCAATCGATGAGTGGGTCCAGTTCGATGAACTTCCAGAGCATGCAGCAACATCAACAACAACAACAACAACAACAGTCTCATCAACAGCATCAGCACCATAACCACATGCTCCAGAGCCAGTACATGTCGCAGCACGCCACGCAACACAGTCTACCGCAGAGTCAGAGCATGAACGGCTTCAACTCTCCGTCGACGCCCAGCCCCCCCGGCATGAATACGGCGTCCATGCCCACAGCGCACTCCATGTCACAAGGCTTGATGAACCAGATGCCCCGCCAGCCGCCGCAAAGGACCAACAGCTTCGCCATGCCGCAGCAGGGCCAGGTCCGCACGGTCGGGGACTTCCACGCCCTGCAGCGGTCCAATACGGGCGACCTGACCACGATGGCCGGCATGGGCGGCGGCGACATGGACTACGGTGGCATGAGGTAACGGCTCGACGCAAGGGTCACAGTACTTGCTCACGTTGAGCCTTCTCACGGTGTCTAAGCCTGGGCATGCCGTTGCCACCATCATTCATCCGATGCTTTGCATGGTGGTCATGAATATGGACCAAGCCGGCAGGCTTGATCCTACTTTGCTTGTCTTGGCCCCTTGTTTGCGATTCCTAAGTTGATGCCGCATCTCCACTATGTACATGTTTTGAGGGAGGGGTCCTATTGACCATCCTGGAGCGACATGTTGGCGCATGGCGTATGTAAATTTTTCTTTTTTTATGTCGGTTGGAGGGAAACCGAAAGTGACGTGATGGGAGCTCTATATTCTTTGGAAGGACTGGGTGGAAAACGGACAGCGGGAGGGGAGGGTTTTATGATGTGATGGACGCTTTCTATGGTGTTGACAGGTAGATGAATTGATCATTTAGAATACGCTGTCTTGCCGTCGTGCGTCCCTCTTGTGTGTACGACGAAACGACCCTGTCGTTCCTTCTGTACTCACGTCCGATGTACTGCTGTCCCCTTCGTCATGGATGTGTTCGATGACCATCCATGCATAGGTACGACATGGTGGGTGCGCACCGGCTCACTTCCTGTCGCGGTCCAAAATATGCCAAACGCCCTCACAGCAGCAGCCTCTTCTCACCGCCCACACACAGTCCGTCCACAGCACCAGAATCACCCTCCAATGCACCAAACACCCGTCTCATTTCTCTGGGACGGACCTGGCAACGTTGCAGCCAACCGAGCCGAGCATCCCGCTCCCACCCCACTTTTCCCTCAATGGAACAAAGGAACAGCAGGATGGAGTCTAGTGGAAAAGGGGGGGAGGGGGGGGCGGAAGGAAAAAAAAAACCTTCCATGCCCCGCAGATCGCGATCCGCCGCACCGCAAAACAACGATGATGCCAGTTCATAACGGCACCGCAGAAGGAAACCGGAAAACCAAACAAACACAAAAAAATGGACAATGCGCGAATCGAACGCGCGACCTTCAGCAGGCATCGTACACCGTCTTGAGGACGGTAGACTTGTTTTCTTCAGATGCTAAGCAGACGTTATACCACTAAACCAATCGCCCTTGTGGATGGTCGGGAGGCGCGGCGGTGGATATCATGTTGCTGCTTGCGGGCCGGCCGGGCCTAGACTTCGGTTGACGAGATGAGTGTTCGCGAAGAGCTAGACGGGGCGAGGAGAGTGGGTACATTGTACATGAGAAGTAGAGGCTCGGTGGAGAATCCAGGATGAATGTCATTTGAAAGTAGAGGTCGGGGTATAATGTAAGTCTATGGTACAGAACGCAGGCCGTGGGCGTATGGACACGAGAGAGAGAGAATATGTGTGTGTGTGTGTGTGTGTGTGAGAGAGAGAGAGAGAGAGAGAGAGAGCCATGGATGTTGACCCCCTTGCAGGCAGGAATATAAATCATACAAGAACATAGAGGGAGCAGATCTAGACTCTGGTCAGCGGACGTCCATGCACCAGGGGTCTGCGTCTTGAACTCACCATGCTCAGCCCCATGACCATGGAGACCCAAAACATGACATTGTTGAGCGTCTTCTTGCCGCGCACGAGCTTGGTGCGCTGCAGCATGACAATGGGCAGCTGGAGCATCTGGCAGACAAAGCCGTAGCCGCGCAGCTTCTTGGTGATGCAGGCCATGACAATCTCGTGGCCGATGGCGGAGATGAGGAACGTGATGACGGTAGCGCGCATGCGGCCAATGTGCGGGCGCGAGGCGCTGTAGACGTGACGGCGCAGGAAGGAGTAGACGGGAATGTTCCACTCGCGCGAGAACTCCATCCAGTCGGTCGAGTTCCACCAGTCGTTGTAGAACTGGCGGTCACCGAAGCGCGTCATCTCGGCGCAGGCGCCGAGGGCATACTCAAAGATGACGAGGAAGACGAGGAGGAAGGTGAGCATGAAGGGGAAGAGGAGCCAGGAGACCGTCTCGGCAAGGATGAGGAGGCGCTCGTTGGCCGACGGTGGAAGGATGCCAGGCGCCATGGGCGGGTTGAGACGGAGCGAGGACTCGATGAGAATGGGGAGGATGAACTCTTCCGAGATGATGGTCAAGAGGAAGATGCAGCCAAAGACGGCAACAATCTTGGAGATGAGCGAGGTCCAGTCGCGCTTCGGGGTGCGCGGGTACTCGAGCTCGTAGCACAGCGTCGGGCACAGGAGGTAGTCGAGGTAGTTGGCCCACGTCAGGTTGCGCGGGTAGGCAATGTTGCCCATGGGAGAGGTCAGCTCCCGGGCCAGATCCTCGCGCAGATCCGAGACCTCCTCGTCGCTCTCATGACCGCCCGTCCGGAGGAGAGCATCGGCTGGCTTGAGCTCGCTGCTGCCACTGCTGGCGGTCCGCTTCTTGGGGCTGCCGTCGGTGTCGTCGTGCGTCTCGGACGACTTGGCCTGCTTGGGGCTCTTGGGCGCCTGGTCGCGCAACGGGTCCTCGGACGTCGGATAGAGGTAGGCGGGGTCGCGGTTGGCGCCCGAGGGGTTGTCGAGCGCCGCGCAGGCGTTTCTCGGTCTCGCAGAGGTGCCCGTTGTAGAAGCCCAGC